ATCATTTCGCCACGACCCGGCCTGAACTACACCATTTGAATCCTCCCAATCAACGTAGTTTCTTGGTATATATGATGGTTCTTTATCGTGGAACATTATAAAATTGTGAAAAACAACACATGCCAAGACTATTTTTTCAGCATTATTCGGATATAAATGTAGTGTTGTCAGGAGTACTCGCCAGCGTGACACTAAAATTCCGAAAGCGTTTTCAATTGTACGGCGAGCTCTTGATAATCTTTTATTAAAAATATCTTTATCATTTGGTAAGAGCTCGCCAGGGAAAGGACGCATTAAATTTCTTCCCAACGGGAATACGGCGTCACCAACAAAATAGTGCGGAATTTTAATTTCCGTATTCGGCAAATTTTTTGGCGGAGGTATTTGATGCTTATTGTTTACCAGCCTCTTTCCAAATCGACTCAATTGAAAAATTCCTGCAAATTATATTTTAAATAACATAAATTAAAGCAAAAGCCGTCACTTTGGCTCCCATAAGCTCCTATATCAATATATGTAAAGCGATGTCTGGCATCACATGCTGCTAACAAAACAATTGAAAAAAATTTCTTGTAGCAGAAAAACTGACTTCCGCTGTTAGGGGGCATTGTATGGCGATGTGCTTTCCATCGATAGATCCTATACAGTTAGGCATGTCCCACATATTCCAAAAGTCTTCTGCAATTTGTTGGAAGTATTCTTTGTTTGGTTCAGCCACATAGATGCTGCCTAATTTGCTCCTCAGTTGTCTCTAGAATAATGCTTCTAACCGTTTCTTTCCCCAATTTGAAGGACCATGCCAGTGATTGGAATGAATTTCCTTGAGTTAAATATCTTTTTAGAAAAATTAAAAACAGTTATGGGTTATGGAATAAGAAAATTGGGTTTAAATTAAGTACTTACAGCAAAGTCACGGCCAATCGACATTCTGGCTGCACAGGCTCCCTTAGGGAGTTTTTTTGAAGATAGGGGGAAATAAGGTCCAGCAATAGTTTATATACTTCTGGAGCCATTCGCGTATAAATGAAAAATTGTTTATGGTCAATTTCCTTCATTCGTAAAAATGATTGGACAAAAAACCCGTTTATCCTTCTGTCCCTGTTAATTTCCCTGACGGAACAGGAGCGTACTCTTTTCTTCTTTAATTCACTCACTTTCTTTAAAATGCAAAGTCCTTCGACAGATATCTTTAATAATTTTAACTTTTTTAAATATTTTAATTTTTTGTCCATTTTTATTTTCAATTGTTAAAACTTTTGAAACTATTTGTTCGTTATAAAAAAATTTTGTGTTATCAGTGCTGTATTTTTTTGGTATTTTTTCACGAAAACAAAATTGGGATACTAAATTTTCTTAAAATTATTACAAAAATTGTTATATTATTTTGTAAATTATGTTTATTTAATATGTTTTTTTCTATTTGAGAAAATATGAAATTGTAAAAGTAAAAAAAAGAATTGTAAAATTGCATTAAATAAATAAATAAATAAATAAATAAATAAGGTTTAATAGTTTCATTGTAACTTAAGTATATTATAGCCACATAAAAGTCTCTTCTGGTTTTTTTAAGCATTTGACAGGCTTTTCGTTAGGTTTTGGCATTACCTTAAGCTAGTGTATTCATATTATAGTTAGGCCTTTACTCAATCGAAGATTTTACAAACTACAATTATTTTCTAGACGTTGATGTACAAAATGTTTGATATTTCCTTTTACATGACTAATTAATGCCTTTATAATAGCAAATTGAAAGGACTTAGCACTTTTTCTTTGTATGTATATTTTTATTGTTTTGAGGACTTAGCACGCTTGCATACCACAGCAAAAATACATGTTTAAAAGTTATTTCTTGATTGCAACATGTGTATTTCAAGATGTTTTATAAAAATGTTTTATAAAAACCAAATTTTAAACTTGATCGTATTAAAATGAAATGTTCGTGTGAGAACTAAACTGTTTTAGAAATACAGGCTGATAATCTTCTTTGAGTGTGCTTTTCATCGATGTGTAACTTGTAATTTTTCAAATAACAAGTTCGCCTGTGTTTCAAATTATAAATATTTCTTAGAAATCATAAACAATATTAAACAAGTAAGAAAGTATAAACGGGCGTGACCGACCATATGATACCCTACACTAGTTATGGATATTAAATATGTTTTTTTTCATAACAAAGCATTTATCTTCGATATTACCTTGTTCCGATACATTTAAGCACTTTATGGATGAAAAACTAATTTTTTGAAAGAGGCTTTATATGAGGGCTAGGGGTAAATATGGACCAAGCCCGATAAAATTTTGTGAATATATTTATATAATATCTATTTGTGCTGAATTTCATTGTATTTATAAGTTAATTTTGGACATTCAAGTAATTTTCTGAGCTAGGGTCAAATGAGGCCCGATCTTTATGAAATTTGGCAAGGTCATCAAGGCTTGCATAAAACTTAGTTGTGCCGCTTTTTATCGATATACAGGTATATTTAACATAATTATGAGCTCAGAAGCCCTTTTCGGGTGGTTCTTTTGTATGGGGGCTAGGTGAAATAATGGACCGATTTTAACCAAAAAAAGCGTGTGCCAAATTTCATACAATTATCTTGAAAATTGCGACCTGTGATGGGTATAGGACGAATATTTGTGTATGTTACAAACATCAGCACAAACCCAATATACCCTTCCCACTAAAGTGGTGTAGGGTATAAAAAGTATTTGCTAATTCAACCTCCCTTATATTTTAGAATATTAAATCAGGGTTTCAAAAAACTGCTAATTGCAGTCGCAAATTACTAAATATTTGACTAAATTTAGTACCATGCTTAAAAAATAGTAACTCGTTAAAATTTCCCCTTACAAGCTAACTGAAGTCAGTCAACTGTGTCAACACATTGCTGCAATAACTTGCAAGTGGTTTTGTTTTTCTTCAGTAGCCACACACACAAGCAGCGGCCATGTTAAGTTTTTCAACTCAGCCGAACTGAACACAACGACTGAACAGTAAAAACAGTTTTGCGTGTGCTGCTTACGTATTGCTTAGTTCTTGGTTTCGTTTTCTTACTAAGGGACGTAAAAAAAACTGATAGTTTGACTGGTTAGTACAAATCAAGCCGACTGAACAATAAAATTTGATGGGTAGTTTGTTCATTAAGACTTTGTTATTGTATGCAATTTGTTTTAGTATATTGTATGTTTTTGTGTTTAAAATTGACAAAAGTAAACAAAGTAATTGATAATTATTGCTAATAGAAATTGTTAATTAATTTAAAATTTATAAAATTATAAAATACTATACTTATAAATTTAGATATTTTCTTTAAATAAAAATTGATTTAAATTTAATTTAAATTTAAATTTTGATGATTTTTTAGTGAGAAACTTGATTTTGACCCCGGTTTTTAGAGGGTTAATGATTTTTAATTTCGGAAATTTTATCAGAAATAACTTTTCATGGACTCGGAAATAATAATCGCAATTTAATTGATCAAAATTAAGCAACAATTGGTAATAATATAATTTTTACTTAATTATTGGCAAAAATTGCCTTTTTCCCGAAATCCTTCAAATTCACATCGCAGGTACGGTAAAACTATGAGAGGTATTAAGCTCATTCTTTCTGTGTTTAATTCTTATATATATCCTTTATAATATCCAGTATAGAAAACTCTAATTTTTAATAATCCATTTAACAAGATTTTTTAAAGTTTGAAAATGGAGTTTTGGAGATGCTGTTAAAATAATGACCCTTTTTTGACCACCGACTAAACCGAGTAAGCGTTATCCAATTTGAACAAAAATTCGTACTAGCACATTTATGAACCTTATAAAGATAAACATAATATTTTTTTGTAAAATTTTTCAAAACTAACAAAAATTTTCTTATATTTACTTTTATATGTCTTCAGAATCACAAAATTCTCGGGGGAAATTTTAATAACTCAAAATTTTTTTAACCAATTTTGAGTTTTTCCATCTTTTTGGAAAGACAATTTTGTAGACATTACGATTTTGCTATAAAATGGTGCAATAATTAATACTTAAAGCCTCATTTTGTGAAAAAAACTCCAAAAAGTGCCATTTTTCCCATATAAACGCATTTACAAACTTTAAATTTATATGTATAGTAATTTATAATTTTATAAATTTTAAATTAATTAACAATTTCTATTAGCAATAATTATCAATTACTTTATTTACTTTTGTCAAATTTAAACACAAAAACATGCAATATATTAAAACAAATTACATACAATAACAAAGTCTTACTGAACAAACAACCCATCAAGTTTTATTGTTCAGTCGGCTTGATTTGTACTAACCAGTCAAACTATCAGTTTTTTTTACGTCCCTTAGTAAGAAAACGAAACCAAGAACTAAGCAATACGTAAGCAGCACACGCAAATCTGACATGGCCGCTGCTTGTGTGTGTGGCTGCTGAAGAAAAACAAAACCACTTGCAAGTTATTGCAGCAGTGCGTTGACACAGTTGACTGACTTCAGTTAGCTTGTGAGGGAAAAATAAATACTTGAACTTTCTTCAGTTCAGTCGACATTTACAAAAATAAAACTAAATATTAAACCCTGTATTAAATATTCCAGAATTGACACTTTTTACTGCAGTTTTTATTATGTTTTGATCAATATTTGATGATTCCTCAGAAATTCCATTTTTTCATAAATTTGTGCCATTAAAGGCAAAAAAATTAATTTCTAGATATAGTAGTTAGGGAACTAAACCCAGTCCGATAGAATTGTTTGAGGCTTGTACATAACAAAGCTCGAAGAATTCATCGTGATAAAATAATGTCAATTATGGAAGTTCAAGCCATATTTGACTATTATAAATCAAATTTATAGTAATATCACGCATATCATATTATCCTGAAATGGATTTTAGAGTTCCAAATATGCATGTTTTAATATCAACAACTTAATCACTAAACCATCATGATCATACTAAATAAAATTTTCTATATTTTCTATGTATGTATGAAAAAACTTACCACGCATTCACCTATATGATGAACAACACATGGAATATGTGCGGTTGCACCTATTTGCGTCGCAATAACAGTTGAATTTTCTGTTCCAAAATACATTGGCGTATTAAATACTGATTTATTTAGAGTTTCACTTGAATTATTGATGTAAAAGTTGTTTTCAATATTGGTGTTAACTAAATCAATGACTTTATGAGCTACATGACTATTAGACAAGCGATTCGCAAACTGGTCATTGGTATTCGATGTAAAGGCGGCATTCAATTCATTTTCACTTCTTTCTTTTGTGTGTTCGATGTATAATGGCGAAGCAATTGTCCTTACACCATTACCTTTAGAATGATAATGACTTTGAGGTTGGAGAGTCAACGATGTCGGTTTCAAAGATGAGCTAGCAATACTACCAAATGATTTAGAGGACGTAAATATATGTGACTTTGTGCTCTTAAAGAACTCTTCATTCCGATCCATGTTATCCGCCATTAAACCTTGGAAAACAAAGTGATTGTATGTTATTTTTATTATATTATATTAATAACTTAAAGTATAAAATAATAAATATTTCAAAATTTAAATAATGGGAAATCTAAAGCTACGTTCACACCTATCAAATATTTGAAGTTTTTTTTTTATCAAATACTTGTTGGCTGTAATGTGAACACAAAATATTTTGAAGAGCAAACAAAATATCAGCTGTTTTTCGTGAAACAGTTTTATTGGTCAGCCTACAAATATTTTCCCAATGTGAACACAATGTGAATACCTAACATGAAAAATTTGTGTTTAACGTTAAAGAACTATTTAATTAAACTTACAATCGTTTTTTACGATTCCATAGAAATTTATGCATAAAACAAAAAATTAAATACATTTTTATTTCATCATATGCTTAAAATGAGCATTTCTTTTTTGACGTTTTGTTTGAAGAAACAAAGCCAAACACAATTCAATACAAATAGTGAAAATTTGTTTGCCCGTTGTTTACATTACGACAAATAATTTCTTAAAACAATTGACGGATAAAACAGTAAAAAAACAAGATTATATTATGGACCGATCGTGAAAAAAAATTAAAGTAACATTTTGTATGCTAAAGTAATGTCTGTGTCAGATTTTGCATGGATATATTTGTTTGGTAAGTAGTAATGTGAATTTAAGTGATATCTGGGAGGGAACCTTATATGGGAGCTATGACCAAATATGGGCCGATCGTGAAATTTTTTTAAATAAAATTTTTGTAAACTAAATTAATATTTGTGCGAAATTTTGCAAGGATATCATTATTTAATAATGAGTTATGTGCGTTTAAGTGATTTTTTGAAGGAGATCTTCTAAGGGAGCTATTACCAAATATGGAGCGATCGTGAAACAATTTTAAGATTACATTTTTGTATACAAAAGTAATATTTGTGGCAAGTTTTATGTAGAAATTTTACAGTATCATTTCTATATACATATAAAAGCTATATTTGTGCCAAATTTGTATGGATACCATTATTTGGTAATGAGTTATATGCGTTTAAGTGCTTTTTGGGAGTGGACCTTGTATGGGAGCTATGATCAAATAGGGACCGATAGTGAAAAAATTTTACAGTATAATTTCTATATATTAAGGCAATGAGTTATTTGCGTTTAAGTGATTTTCGGCAGGGGACCTTGTATGGGAGATATGACCTAATATTGACCGATAGTGAAACAATTTTACAGTATCATTTCTGTGTATATAAGAAATATTTATGCCAAAATTTGTATAGATACCATTATTTAGTAATGAGTTATGTGCGTTTAAGTGATTTCCGGGAGAGGACCTTATATGGGAGCTATGACCAAATATGGACCGATCGTGTAAAAATTTTAAAGTATCATTTCTGTATATAAAAGCAATATTTGTGCAAAATTTTGTATGGATATCATTATTTGTTAATGTGTTTCGGGAGGGGACCTTGTATGGGAGCTACTGCGAATTATGGATTGATTCAGAAAATGTTTATTCTATATGAATTCAATTGACATAAAACTTTTACGGGAATATATACATTTGTATGGGAGGTATATGAAATTGTGGACCTATTCCGCCCATTTTTAACAGGAATAAAGAAAGCTTTCATATACAAACAATTGTGTGCTGATTTTTATGAAATTATATCGCGTAGTATTTGTGAAAATTGTATTAGAAAGTGTTAATAAGGCTTTGCTTTTTCGGAGTTTTTTTTTTAAATTTTGATTCATAACTCTTGCCGATGTAAACCGATTTTGCTCATTTTCAATACCAAACTGCCTAGGACAATAGTGAATTTTTTGGCCGAATTTCAGTAATTGACTTAGCATCGTTTTTACGTGAGCGTGTTTTACACAGACAGATGGACAGACGGAAATAGCTTAATCGACTCAGAATTTGATAAGGACCCGGAATTATATACTATGTTGGGTCTCAGATGAATATTTCTTGGTGTTACACACGGAAGGACAAAGTAATGTATACCCTCTATCACCACTGATGGTGGTGGAGGGTATAACAAAGAAGAGCTGTTTGATCTTACATTTGTATTGCAAGATCAAATAATTATTTTGCCAAAATGATGTCATGTATTGACTTTTAGTGTTCACATTGATGAAACAATAACAAAATACCCAGCAAAAATTAAACGAAGTACTTCAAAAATAATAACATTTATCACCACTTCAAAAGTAGCACTAAATGACTTTTTTTACCTTCTGAGGAAGTGATGTTTAAAGACTTCCGAAGAAGTGAAAATAATTCTATTTTTCAATGTTGAAGATATATTTTTTTGTTCTTACATTTTTATGAGATAAAAAATGTTATTTTTGGGCTTTTGTATTAAATATGCCTATTTACCTTATTAATGTTAATATTATTTGGGTCAAATTAGTTGTATTCTGTACTACAATATCACTTCACAAAAATAGCATACAAATTACGTCTTGAGAATGACTTCAGAAGTAGTGAAATTGGAATCAAATTAAAAGGACATCCCTCCTATGACAAGTCTGTGTTAAAATTACCACTTCTTCAGGTATTTTTCATTACTTCCAATCTATTATTTTTCGCTTCTTTGGAAGTTATTTTTTTGCTGGGATATTTATTTGCCAGCAAATCAATTTGTTTTATGAAAATCATCCGCATTGCTGTTTGTTAACATGCAATATTTTATGTTCAGATTCGACAAAGTTTTTTTCAATCGTGTTATATATTAATATTAACTGTTTTATTATATAAATTTAATTTTAAACCTAATAAAAATAGTTAAAATTAAAACAAATTCGTAAATTGTTTTTTTCTTGCATAAAAAACGAATTCAATAATTTGTTTTAGCTGTATTTTATATACCTCTTCTCACCAAACAATTTCAAAATCAAACAAAAGCTGATTTTAGACTTTTTTAAATGTCAAAAGTGACACCTCTGTATACTTTGTGGATATACTGCGGCTGCAAACATGTGTTTGTTTGAACCAAATAATTTTGCACTGTTTGATAAAACAATAACATCTAGGCTTGCCAGACGTACTGTTTTCAGCAGTACGCGTACTTTTTTGTGGTTAGTGTACTTTTAACTGTATAACCTCTAAAGAAGTACGCAGAAGTACTTATTTTTAGTATTTGTACTTTTTTTTAAGTTTTCCATAATTTTATACGTGTAATCATGAATATAAACAAATATTCTATAGAATCGCTATTTAAGGACTTCAAAGATAGTTTGAAAGTGGATTTACTAAGCTCAAAAAGGCAAATTCGACTATAAGAGGTTTCGATGCCTTTGTTATGCATAAAATAGTGCGTTTATTCAAAATGCTTTAAAGTTATTAAATTTTGATTAAGATATCACTGTAATGAAAGTTTTTAATGAATTTTCGCATAAAAAAGACTGCAAATGTGAAGGACATGTAAAAGTTGTAACGTTTTTGTAAGAGTTAGAGATCTAGATTTTTTACTTGATATTTTTTCTCCATAAAAAGATATCAAACAATGGTAGATGTTTAAAAATGTGAACAAACCAAACGAAAGAAAAATTTGGAGAATTTTACATTTTTTAAAGAAACTATATAATAAAAATAATAATAATAATAATAATATATAAATATATAATAATAATATAACACCCCGTAACAATTTTGAGAAAAAGCTTTCACACATAGAAAAGTTGATATGCATGTGAAACTAGAGTCAATTTAGAGCAATTCTGCATAGTTCGATTTTTATAATCAACTCTTATATCCTTATAAAAGGACTTCAAAGTTTAAAGGACTTACAATTTCAAACGAATATTTTAAATATTTATGTATACATATGTATCAAATGAAAGCTGGGAATCTGTAGATACTACCTATATTATTTAATAACTCATTTAGTCAAAAAATCGAAATAAATTAAATTAAAAAATGCTCTTATTTTGAAAACAAAAATGTTTAACTACTTTTTTGTAACAAATTTTCTTTAAGCTTCCATATCTCTTTTAATCCTGATGGATTTAAATAAATAACATTATTTTGAAGCAGAAGTTCTCAGCTTCATTTGATATTAATACCAAATTTCTTATATAAATTTGGAATTACATCTTTTGAAATCGTATGTCCTTTAAACTTTAAGGTCCTCTCACAGGAGCATAAGAACTATGAAAAACTGAGTACACAGGGTTAATACTATTGGTTCACAGTTTATACATATAGATTTTTTTCATGTGTGAAAATGACTGTTGCACCGTGTAATATTAAAAAATGATTTGTAATTGGATTAATTTTATTTGTCATAAATTAGTTTTATATAAGTTTTTTGTTAAAAATCATTACAACCAATGTCAATCTAGCGTTTTTAGAACAATATAATTGATTTTTTTTTCAATTATACTGCTTTTTTAACTACGAAGTACGTTTTTTTATTTTTTATTTCAAATTTTTTATTTCAAATCTGGCAAGCCTAATACCAAAGAATATAAAGAAATTGGGGCTTGTCAGTTGGTACCTAAAGGAGTTGTCATTCGGTATCTAACTCTAAGAATGTATTGGTAGAATTTTTGTATAAGTATTGTCCAACCACTTTCAGCACTGAATCAAAACCTACATAGCTGCATAAAAAGGAACTTAAAACTTTTTTGAAAAATATAAAACATTTAAATTTATACTTTCACAGATTTTTTAATTTTATTATTGCACATTTGATCTTTAAACATTTAATAAATACATTTTTCAATTTGTTTATTCCTATATTTGCAAAATATTATGTTTATATTAAATTTATTTCCCATTTTCAATACTCAAATTAAAACTTCGTTTTTTCTAGTTATAGCATTCACCTTCGTGAGAACGGTATATATAAGTTTGTCATTCCGTTTGTAATTTCCACAATATAATTTTCTGACCCTATAAAGTATATATATGCTGGATCCTTATAGATAGCGGAGTCGATTAAGCCATGTCCGTCTGTGTGTCTGTCTGTCTATCTGTTGAAATCAATTTTCTGAAGACCCCAGA